AAAGGGGGGGATTGTGGCTGTGGGGGGAGAGCGCAGCCTGCGGAAGGCCCAGGAGGGGTGCACCTTTGAGCCCCCCCCCCAGGTGTTCCTGCGTGGAATTGGGAAGGCAGTGCCTTTGTGATTCCGTTTTCTTTCCCCCATGTCAGGTCACCTCTGTCCTTTTTTTCCCCTCCCAGTTTCAGGCATAGTTACTTCTTGGCGAGGAGCATATTGGGGTCCAGTAGTGTGGGTCACCCTAAAACTAACGGAGAGAGGGACACTGACGGGAGCGTGGAAACCAGAGAATTGGGACATGTAGGCACTGGAGACAAGGTGTCCCCTCCCCTTCACATCCAGGGCCTCCCGGGCGGGCGGGCTGCCTTCAGGACTGTTCGAGCCCTGCGATTTCCCTTTGTGCAGGGCTCGCTGTGACCGGGGTGGACTGGAAGCTCTCTTCCCTGAGGGGACCGTCGAGGAGTAGGAGTTGCTTTGGCAACTGCAGGGGGAGTGGCTGGCAGATGGACCCCTGAGATGGACTCTTGAGGGGCAGGTTCTGTCATTGTGTTGCCATGGCAACGATCCGCTGGGATGTCCAGTAGGTGGGAGCTCAGCGTGTCGATTGGACCTCAGCCTTTGGCTATGTCCTCGGACTGTGGTCTGGGTTCGGGAGACGGTTTCTAGTGTTGCTGGTGGGTGGGCTTTCCTTCCATCTCGACGGTCACGGTATTTCTCCAAGTCACTCCCCGTAGGCCTGGTGGGAGCCTGGGGATGCTCTGTTCATGAGACCATCTTTTGGTAGTTTTTTCTGACCCTCTCTCATTTTTAGAGACTTTTTGTATACAGGAGTCTTTTTGCTTCTTTGCACTGATATTCTTCCATTTTCTTAAGCGTGAGTCTCCCTCCCCCATCAGTCTTTGCCTCTTTTGACACAGTGGCCCCTTTCCTCGGCGAACCTTGGAGCTATTCCTGCCATCTTGTAGGAATGGCTGGGCTTTCCACGCCCATCTCAGGTAAGGGTGGCCCAGGGGAGCGGGCTGTGGAACAGCTGGTGCGGTGGAGCCCGGAGACCTGGGTCTAGTCCTGGCTGTACGTCTGTGACCTGGGGCAAGTCACTTCTGTTTCTTTGAGCCTCGGCTTCCTTGCCAGGTGAAGGGGTTGTGTGGATGAGATGATTTCTGAGGCCCCTTTGACAATCCTGGATTCTCCGAAGGCTCAGGCCAGTGCATTGTTACCTGCTGGTTGGGGCTGCTTTATCGAGGTGTTTGTTAGTCTGGTAGATCTGGAATGATGATGGGGGCTGGAATTCAAGCCCTTCCCGAAAACCCTGTGCCTCTATTGTTTTCCCTCTGACATCCTTCTCATATTTCTCCCTTAATTTCTTTTTCTGTTTTTACTTAGAGACTCTCCCTATTTCTCACTTTTCCACTTCCCCAGTCTGGTCTTTATCATTTTCCTTTTGCAGTGAAGCAATGACGGTGAATGAGCTGTGTGTTGCCAGACACATAGTAGGTGCTCTGTGAATTTAGTTAGAGTGACTGGCTACAGGATGGAGTGTAGCTTAGCTTGCTGGTGTTAAAACATGCCCCTGGTTCAGACACATAAATACAACCTTAATTTCCATCTCCCTCCCCGCCCCTCCTGCCCCCAGGATTACCTACCTTTTAATGACTGCTTTTCTTCAAAGCTACTCATTGCTTATTTTATCAGACTTCGGCTGATTTTATTTTATTTCTTAAAATATATTTTTATTGTTTCAGAGAGGAAGGAAGAGGGAGAGAGAGAGAAACATCAATGATGAGAGAGAATCATTGATCAGCTGCCTCTTGCATGCCCCACACTGGGGATTGAGCTCACAACCGGGATATGTGCCCTTGACTGGAATCGAACCCAGGATCCTTCAGTCCACAGGCTGACGCTCTATTCACTGAGCCAAACCAGCCAGGCCAAATTTCAACTGATTTTACAAGTGGAAGTATGGGGAGGGGCACACTGGGCTTGTGCAGGTACATTCCTGCATTTCTGTGACCTTTTAGATTCCCTGGGTCTGACTGACTTGTAAGCGGGTTTGGTGCTGGCAGGAGAGGGAAGCCCTTCTCTAGAGGGGCTTGCAAAGACATACCTGTCACAAATAGTCATCATGGTCATTGCTGTGTGCTTCTGTTAAGATTGTCTTCCCCTTTTGATATTTGGGTTTTATTTGGACGTTTTGGGTTGATGGTATTTTAAATCAATCTACACAGCAAAAAATATGCTAATAGTTATAGTTGAAGAGAAGTGGCTGGTTTATTGGGCAGAGCATCCGTTGTAAGTTCAGAAGACCTGGGGCTTTGGCCCATCTATTTTTTACTCATAAATTCTTATTAAGTTTCCTGGAAAGGTTAGGCTCACTACCTGCCTCAGTACAGTTCAGTGGAGGTAAGAAGTGATTACTTCATATTCCTTGGGGAAAATATGATCTAGAATGTGGAAATGCCACTTACCTTAGCGAAGCCTCCTAACTCGGGACACACAGGTAAGCTTACTCTGTTCCCACTGAGGCCAGCAGCGCTTCACCCAAGAAGACCTACAAAGTTAGTGGGTTTAGAGGTCAAGAACAGAACACCCATATATACATCACATCAGTGGGGGATACAGAAAGGAAGAAAACAGTAGCAAGGTAATATTTTTGCTCTCAAAAGATCATATGGTTGGTAGTATGGAAAGACATGACTCTTAGCAGGAAGTACAAACCAATGCAAATGAAAATAGCTGACTGTATAGACAGATATAGATATATAGATAGAGATAGGGTGTGAGGAGGTGTATGTTCCCGTCTAAGCCAAGTGAGAGGATAGGCTCACAAATCTGTATTGGGTACTCACTGATTTGATTGGTAAAGCGAAAGTCCTGCCTTTTCCTCTAGCCTTTGGGAACCCAAGCACTAGAAAGGGGGGTCTTATGAGGCTCTCAAAAGTGAAATTCTGCACTTTGGGGATACGTAGATTTTGTCTTGGGATTCGTAGGGTTGCATTCCTTTGCATTGTAGAACGGGACATTCTTCTACTCACTCTGATGTGAAAAGACTATTTTCGAATCTCTGGGGCTGACCTAGGTCTTCTGAGGATTATCTCAACCAACTTCTGATGAAAATAAAGTCCAAAGAAAGAACCTGGGCTTTGGAGTCAGGGAGAGGTGAGCTTGATTTGGTGCTGTCACTGGTTCCTCACTGTATGTTCATCACATGAAGTTGGCAAGTCAGAATCACAAATCTTTGAGCCTGTTTCCTCACTTATGTAATGGGAATAAGAACACCTACTTTTCAGGGTTGGTTATAAATATTAAATTGTGTATGTGAGGGCTTGACATAAAGAGGGTACTCAATAAATAAATTAACACTTTAGCTATGTTTCTTGATGTTCTTTTGTAAGGCTCTGTGGAGTTTGTGTGTGCACAAATATTTCCTAGGGATCGTGAAGGGTAAAATAGTGTCATCTCCTGAATTGGGGCTCGTAGATACATCTGAGTTTTATTGCCTTCCCCAGAGATGAAAGAGATGATATTGTAATTCACTTATAGACATGGGGCAAGCCAGCCATGTATTGTGGGGCCTACACTTCTTATTTTATTTTTCAAAGTATATCTTTATTGATTTCAGAGAGGAAGGGAGGAGAGAGATAGAATAATCATCAATGATGAAAGTGAATATTGACCAGTTGCCTCCTGCACGCCCCCTACTGGGGGTCAAGCCTGCAACCCAGGCATATGCCCTTGATGGGAATCGAACCTGGGGCCCTTCAGTCCATAGGCTGATGCTCTATCCACTGAGCCAAACCAGCTAGGGCAGGCCTGTACTTTTTGACTGAAGGCCAAGGCTAGGGCGCTTGCTGTGGTAACCCCCTCAGACTCTATTCCCTGATTTGGACATTTTGATGGTCTTTTTCTAACAGGCTTCACTGAAAACAGATCCTGCAAGTTCCAGGTGCCTACGCTGGAAACTTGGAGATCCTGCCTCCTGCTTCCCAGGCCACAGTTGTGGGGAACTTGGGGTGAAGCAGGGAAGTTTCTGTATTCAGCTGCCCAGGCAGAGGAGAATGGGGTCTCCACAGCCTGAAGAATGAAGACACGACAGAATAAAGACTCAGTGAGTGACAGCTTAAATGAGGGACATGAAAGATGAGGGGCAGGGAAGGTAGGGGGTCGGGCCTGGAGAGAAAGAATTGCAGTCAGGCACATCTTAAAGTTAGATGTAGTATAAAAAAACTTTCGTTTCCTTTCTTCTCCTTCAGATGTCAATGAGGAGTGGACGGAAGAAAGAGGCCCCTGGGCCCCGGGAAGAATTGAGATCGAGGGGCCGGGCCTCCCCTGGAGGGGTCAGCACGTCCAGCAGTGATGGCAAAGCTGAGAAGTCTAGGCAGACGGCCAAGGTATTCTGTCTTGAGGTTCTCCCACAGGTGGCCCAGGCACTGGGGCTAAGGCTGTGTGTGTGCTGTGGGGGTACTTCCTCGCTGGCAGAGGGCAGTGGTGGAGGTTTGGGAGGTGTAAGAGGAATGTTCCCTTTCTCGATAACAGAAGGCGCGAGTAGAGGAAGCCTCTACCCCAAAGGTCAGCAAGCAGGGCCGGAGTGAGGAGATCTCAGAGAGTGAAAGTGAGGAGACCCATGCACCAAAGAAGACCAAAACGGAGGTATCCTGACCCATCTTCTGACTGTTCTGTCCCCCACACTTGCTTTCATTCAGGGTTCCCACTTTAATCTTACCTGGGATAGGAGAAAAGTGGAGGAACCTGGCCTTTCCTTTTCTAGGTCCTGATTTTCAGGAAGGAGGAGGAGGTTTAGGGTGAGAAGTCTTAGTGGAAGGAACAGATAAACCATACAAAAAATGCAGAAGTGGACCTTTTAAGAACCAAGGGTTTTGGGGATGTTAAAGAGGTAAAGGAGTTAAGAAGGGGATGGATATAAGCTGGTGGAAGACGGATTTGGGTGCAGCTGTGGATAGGAAGAAGGTGCTTGAGATGGACACTCGAAGAGGAACAGGGTTTTACAAGGAGGGGATGATCTAGGGGTTGTTAGGGAGCAGCTAAGAATGTGGGGAGAGGGGTGGAATCCAGAGGTGGTAGGAGAGTGGGCTTGAGTAAGAGTGTCCATCATGTCATGGCCCAGTGGTGCGCTGTGGGGGGGAAATGATTTATGCAAGAGAGGCCCCAAATCTAGGGGAAGTCAGAAAGGAAAGGCAGAGGGGACAACAGCGCTCCCTTTTCTGCAGCAGGAGCTCCCCCGGCCCCAGTCCCCCTCGGATCTGGACAGTCTAGATGGGCGGAGCCTCAATGATGATGGTAGCAGTGACCCGAGGGATATAGACCAGGACAACCGAAGCACGTCCCCCAGCATCTACAGCCCTGGAAGCGTGGAAAATGACTCCGACTCGTCTTCCGGCCTGTCCCAGGGCCCGGCCCGCCCCTACCACCCGCCTCCACTCTTCCCTCCCTCCCCCCCACCGCCAGACAGCAACCCTCGACAGCCAGAGCCTGGTTTTGAATCCCACCCTTCTGTGACACCCACTGGATATCATGCTCCCATGGAGCCCCCCACATCTCGAATGTTCCAGGCTCCTCCTGGGGCCCCTCCGCCTCATCCACAGCTCTACCCTGGGGGTGCTGGTGGAGGAGTTTTGTCTGGACCCCCAATGGGCCCCAAGGGGGGAGGGGCTGCCTCTTCAGTGGGGGCCCCTAGTGGCGGTAAGCAGCAACCCCCACCCACTACCCCCATTTCAATATCGGGCTCTGGGGCTGGGGGCGCTCCCCCAACAAAGCCATCAAACGCTCCAGTGGGTGGTGGAAACCTACCCTCTGCACCACCACCAGCCACCTTCCCACATGTGACACCAAACCTGCCTCCCCCACCTGCTTTGAGGCCCCTGAACAATGCATCAGCCTCTCCTCCTGGCCTGGGAGCCCAGCCCCTACCTGGGCATCTGCCCTCTCCCCATGCCATGGGGCAGGGTATGGGTGGACTTCCTCCTGGCCCAGAAAAGGGCCCCACTCTTGCTC